GAGGTCAGAGAGGGAATAGAGTTGTCTTCAGTGTATGTTGGGAACCTGTTGGAATGTTCACTGGAGGCAGGATGTGGATACGATTTGGGTTATTGTGAGAAGAGGACTGTGGTTTGCAGTGCCATCTTCCAGGTGAGAGAGGTGGAAGCTTGGACCAGGGCAGTAATGGTGGTGGTGGTGAAGAAGTCATGGGATTCTAGAGTCATTTCGAAAGTAGAGTTGACAGGATAAATCAGATGTGGGGTGTGAGAGAAGAAAGTCAGAGATGACTCTTAAGACCATCTGTTAAAAGTTGCTTGTGGAGATGGGTCTAGGTCTGGAGTATACTGTGTGTCCAGAGGAGTCTCACTAGGAGTGGGGAGGCCTTAGGTCTGGAAGATGCTTAAAAGGAGCCTTAAAAAGTGGCATGAAGGGTGATTTTATAGGAAATAAAGCAATATGAGGGGTAGAGCATTTAAAACAGAGTTATGTTCTGACTCCAATCCTCAAAATATGCCTGGAGTCCATTCGTTGCAGAAAAAGTGGTGATTTATCCTAAACAACGCCTGCATACTGATGACATGTGGCCCTGGGAGGCATGCTGCATTTGTAACAGCTTTTATGTTGGCGAAAATAGTTTATATGTTGAAGATATTCATTAATTACTGTTATTTTTTTCTTAATGCTTTCTTCGTTCAGTTGACTGTGATACAGAGAACCATCATATTAAATATTGCCACATCTTATGGTAATACAATTCTCTCTATATTCTTTCTCTGAAAGTGGATGAAATGAACTGATATTTTATGTGTATATTGCATAGGTATGCAGTGTTTTCATTTTTCTTTTTATGCTCCTGTAATGGTATAGGATTTAATGATATTAGAATTATACATGACAAAAGAAGGACATGCATCTGAGTGCCTGTTTGGTGTAGGGCATTGTAGAGGGATCCCCAAGACATGCTCCATATACTGAAGGGATTTATAATGTGGTAGGAACACCAGAGATTCGGTGACACAGCTGTAGGACCTCAATGCAGTACTTTGATTCTTGCCAAGAAATAGAATTCTTTTTTTTTTTTTAAGATTTTATTTATTTATTTGACAGACAGAGATCACAAGTAGGCAGAAAGGCAGGCAGAGAGAGAGAGGAGGAAGCAGGCTCCCCATGGAGCAGAGAGCCCAATGTGGGGCTCTATCCCAGAACCCTGGGATCATGACCTGAGCCGAAGGCAGAGGCTTTAACCCACTGAGCCACTCAGGTGCCCCAAGAAATAGAATTCTTATTTTACCAGTTAGTGGATGAACTTTCCTCACTTTGGTTTAAGGACCATGGAATAGGGTTAACATATCCACCAAAACACTGAGAAAGTTAAAAACAAAAAATACCTGTTTTTGAAAATTAGCATTTGTGTAGTGCTTTACTCATTTAATCCTGTGAGCTAGGTATTATCGCAGTTTTAGGGAGGACTCAGTGCAGTGGTACCCCAGGTGACAAAAAATTCTGAATATGTTTACTAAGTGTTCATCATCTGTTTAGAATATTAACATATTCTGAATGGTCCTTTGATCCAAATCCCATTTCCTTCCCATTGCATGTACTGTGTTCCCCCCCTTCCCCGCCCCCCACCGCGTTTTAGTCATAGTTGGAAACATCCTGTTTCTTAGTTAGGTTAAAGGAAGTAAGTTAGATCTCAACTGTTATTAATTCAGAAAGAGAAAACCTTTGGTACATTAGAAAACATTAGTTTGTTGTCCTTGGAAGTAATGGTAGAGATCATGGGCTTCTGATGAGGTGAAGGGCTGTTGCTGATATTTTATTTTTATAACAGTACTTTTCATTTGCAGAGTTGGAAAGTTTCGAATTTTTTTATTAGGAAACATTTTGTATATTCAAGATAGTACAAGACATATATAAATGTAAAGAATTATATAAAACAAACTATCCTATTAAATACTCTTCAGCTAACATATAGAAATTATCCATGCCAGGGCGCCTGGGTGGCTCAGTGGGTTAAAGCCTCTGCCTTTGGCTCCGGTCATGGGATCGAGCCCCTCATTGGGCTCTCTGCTCAGCAGAGAGTCTGCTTCCCCCTACTCTCTCTCTGCCTGCCTCTCTGCCTACTTGTGATCTCTGTCAAATAAATAAAATCTTCAAAAAAAAAAAATATGCATGCCTTCCGGGGCTTACACTACCCCCTCAAACAGGTAACAACAGTATTGAGTTTTACATTGTTCTAAGGTGTTTTCTGTAAAATATCCTTCATATAAGAATTAAAATCTTTTAAATATTGTGGGTAAATTTCATCTTGTTTGACATAACTATTATGAAAGTAGCTCTTCAGAATTATATTTTGATTTACTTATTTATGTTAAAATAAAAAGTTTTGTCTACATGCAGGCAGTCACTTAGAAGGCAGCTTGGGTTCAAATCTGTACATTAGGAGACTTAGATTCAGAAGCTGCAAAGATCTGGAAAGAGGGAATCTTGAAGGGGAAAAGGATTTCCTGTGGATCAAGAAAATTGCTTGCTGGTATAGTGTTTCTGCTGCTTAGTCCTAGGGAAAAGGGAACAAAGAGGTGGCAACTGGAAACTATCTTAAGTTGTTCTTGGCAGAATTGGTACCACCAGTGAGTAGCTAAAAGATGGAGTAAAGTATGGCTTCAAGGTCTTGTAACAGCAAATTTCCTAGAGGTTCGAGAGTGTTTATATTAACCATGTTTTTGAGCAGTGAAGACTACTTGAGGGGTCATGTCCAGCGTCTTGTCCTGGTCTCTGTCGCTGAGCCACTGAAGCCTGAATCTGGTGCACATAGTGTGACACTAAGTTCCATTTGCTTGGTAGAGTTTGTGGGTAGTCTTTCATCTTTTAGGAACTGTAATCCTCCTAGTTCTTAGTTTTCAATGGATAAGGAGGTTTGTTTGTTTGTTTGTTTTTTTAAAGATTTCATCATATTTATTTGACAGAGATCACAAGTGGGCAGAGAGGCAGGCAGAGAGAGAGAGAAGGGGAAGCAGACTCCCCGAGGAGCAGAGAGCCCGATGCGGGGGCTCGATCCCAGGCCCCTGGGATCGTGACCTGAGCTGAAGGCAGAGACTTTAACCCACTGAGCCACCTAGGTGCCCCTGGATAAGAAGGTTTTAAACAACACCCATGATGTAATTTTAGGGGGTGGTCATAGACATGTGCATACATGCACACATATGTATACATACTCATAAAATGCCTTACTGTGTTTGCCCTGGCAGTCGCTACATGGAGGCAAAGAGTAAGCCTGTAGATGGGTGCCTTGGCTACAAGTGGGGGCTCTGGAGCCGAGCCGGCGGAGTCCGCATCCTGGGTTGCCACTAGCTAGCTCTGTAGCCTTGCTGACGCTACTGAACCTCTTTGTGATGGTGTCTCTGTACAGTGACGGTAGTACAACCTCTGTCTGCCTTAGTGGTGGGAGGGCTGGGCCGCAGGACGTTCCCGGAGCTCAGGGCTTACCGTGCTTCTAGCGCTGCTGGAGGTTGGCCATTATGTAAATCTCGTCCCTGGTGCCTTTTGGTTCATTGCTTAGGTTGCCGTTTGTGTGTGGGGAGATGTTCTTTCTAGAACCATGTCTCCTCATCACATGATGTGACGTGCGAGCCTGTTGACACTGTCAGCAGTTGAGGTTTGAGCAGAAGTGTGTGGCCCGGCCTTGGAGCCCGGCGGGAGGGAGAGCTGAGCGCCGTAGCGACTGTTGCTGTTTGTGTCCCGGGCAGCAGCTGCCCTGGACGGTTATTTTTACATCGTGATCTCACTGATCACCTGGTATATGGCCGTGCCTTAGAGAAGTGGATTGGCTGAGACGTCTGGTCTTTAAAGAGATTTCATGACCCTGTGTCGTAAAGATTCTCTTCCATGTGCAGTTGGAGGCGCTAAGGCTTTCCGTGTGTGAGGAAGGAAGGGAGACTAAGCCTCGGGTTCAGACGGTCCCTGAAGTATGGTGCGCCTGGGTTTGTCACACCTGAAATACTTTCATTTGGGGCAGTTACTTACTGGCTTCGTGCTTTTCTGTCAAAAAGTAATTTTGCTGTCTAAGGGCACCTGGGTGGCTCAGGTCATGATCCCAGGGTCCTGGGATCGAGGCCAAGTCAGACTCCCTGCTCCCTTTCCCTGTGCCCCCCCTCCCTGCTTGTATTCATGGGTGCGCTCTCTCATATAAATAAATAAATAAAATCCTTAAACCAATTTTGTTGCCTACAACATTCGGCAGATGATTTGTGGTCTAATTCCACTGTAGACATACACAGTACACGTGTGTGTGTGTGTGTGTGTGTGTGTGTGTGTGTGTGTGTATAAAATGTTATTATCAGATGTGGATTTCAGAAATAAGACTGTCTTTCCAATGAATACTTAATTATCAAATGCTTTTCTAAAGTAGATAATAAGATCTTTAAAAAGGATTTATTTCAGGTAGTTGTATCCAGTAATTTTCTAATTTTTATTTATTTATTTATTTTTAGAAGATTTTATTTATTTGTTTGACAGAGAGAGAGGGCACAAGCAGGAGGAGTGGCAGGCAGAGGAAGGAGAAGCAGGGGGAGCCCGATGTGGGACTCGATCCCAGGACCCTGGGATCATGACCTGAACTGAAGGCAGTTGCTTAACCAACTAAACCACTTAGGGGCCCCTGATTTTTATTTCTAATGTATTGAAATATTTATGCAAATAATTATGTGGCCCATTTCTGAATTTTGGGTTCTTACTTACCATGGTTCAGCCAAAAAATATTTACTGAGCACCTTCTACGTACCAGGCTGTGTTTTGAATCCTGGTGGCACCCAGTGGATGTTGATGGTCTGATTCTTCTAAATTCTATGTACAGATCCTGCCTATTAAAAATGTGATTATTTTTGTTTTTCGATTGCCTTCTTCAGATTCAGTGGTATGAATTTACTGATTTGAATGTTTTGAACTTAAAACAACATCATGTTGAACTAAAGAACATGTAACTGAGTGACTTACAAAACCAAATCATTTTCATTTTCTAGGTATTATTAACCCAAAGAACCCAAAGGAAGCTCCAAAGTCCTTTAGTTTTGACTACTCCTACTGGTCTCACACCTCGGTGAGTATACTTACGGTGCAGTGTAATAATAGAACAGTGCTGGTTGTGAACAGTTTTGAAAGAGCTTGAAGGTCCAGAAAGAGTACAGAGATGACTAACACCTAGGAAAATGGAGAGAGTGGGGCCCTTTGCAATACTCTTCTTATTAGTAAAGGACCCAAATCTTGCTGGCTTCTAGGGATTTTTCGTGAACTATAGCTTGCATTTGTTTCTCTTCATTACATTTTTTTTTTTCTGTTTTGTGCTGGAGTAGGAGAGGTTTTAAACTACTGACAGAACCTGATGACCAACAGAAAGACCTGTGAAAGGGGTTGGACATTTGTCACTAAAAGCTAGGTTTATTGAGAAATAGCCATACTACCTAGAGTGAGTGCTGGGAAGTATTTTTATATGTGGACTTGACCTTTGAACTTTTAGTACCATTTTCCATTTAAGAAAATTTTCTTGTACCTTTCGGTGGATGGAAGAGTGATACTTTTAAGGTTATGGAAAGTGACATGTAATTAAGTGAGATAATTTCATGCAGATATTTTTATGTATGGCTGAGCTGGATGACTGTGTTTGTGTGTATGTGTGTGAAATAAGAGAAGAATAAGCTATGTGTAGAAAGGATTTAAAAATTTTATATTTTAATAGGTGACTGTTGAGATTCCAAACATTTAAATTTATTATAGCAGTAATCAAATAAGCCTAGGAAAGAATATGAATAAAATGCCATTTATTTCTCCTTTTAATCTCTATAGCCTGAAGATCCCTGTTTTGCATCTCAAAACCGTGTGTACAATGACATTGGAAAGGAAATGCTCTTACATGCCTTTGAGGGATATAATGTCTGTATTTTTGCCTATGGGCAGACTGGTGCTGGGAAATCTTATACAATGATGGGTAAACAAGAAGAAAGCCAGGCTGGCATCATTCCACAGGTAAAAAAACAAAAAACAACAAAAGACCTCTGTTTAATATTACTTTTAGTTTTCAATTGCTGTAACAATATATATTTTTCTTTTATTTAGCAAACATTTATACAGGGACTATCATATGCAAGGGACAAAAAAAAAATCACTTGTTCCTTTCTTCAAAGGATCTAGTAGTCTAATGGAAAAGACTGACACGTAAACATGGCTGTCTTTAAATGTGGGAAGTTGGCATTCTGTAAAAGTTTTGCTGCATACCCCTGTCTGGGTATTTTATCTTTTGAACAGTGCTACCAGCTTCTTTAAAAAAATGGTAGCGTGTGCCCGGCTTTGTTCTGAATCCTGGACACCTGATTGGTGTTGTTGATCAGATTGTTTCCCAAATCCCATAATATAGATCACCTTTTAAGTATATGATTATTTTTTAGTTTTTTTTTTTTTTAAGATTTTATTTATTTATTTGACACAGAGAGATCACAAGTAGGCAGAGAGGCAGGCAGAGAGAGAGGGGGAAGCAGGCTCCCTGCTGAGCAGAGAGCCCGATGTGGGGCTCGATCCCAGGACCCTGGGATCACGACCCGAGCCGAAAGCAGAGGCTTTAACCCACTGAGCCACCCAGGCGCCCCTATTTTTTAGTTTTTTAATTGCCTTATCAGAGATATTTTCCTTTTATCTTATTAATTTACTATTATCACAGTAAGCTTGAATAGTCTGAGAATTCTTAAGAGCAGTGTCTTTTGAACTTTTATGTTTGGAATGGAGAGGAGTTGTGACATAGAAACTTAGGAATTTAGAAGGAACTTCTCTCATTAATGACAGAAGTGTGGTTTGCTTTTATTGATGATATTTGGAATTAATTTTAAAGTTGGTTTTTTGGGTTTTTTTTTACTATAGGCCTAGTGTAACCTCTGTATTCTGAGAATAAGATACATAAGAGAGCAACAGCTACTTTTTCTAATGGATTATTGGACTATAATTTTAAATTCAACTGTATAATTGAAATGCTTAACTATCAGTAAAGACTAAGAATTTTTCAGAAAAAACTGAACATACTAACGTATTTTCTTCTGTTAAAAATATATGTCAATATTAAAACATCTATTAGGAATTGTCCTTCTTTGTATATAGGAGTAGCAAAAATTATAATAATAATTAGAGAAAAAACTGTGTAGCACTCATGATGTGCGAGCACTGGTCCAAGTGTTTCAGAGATACTCAGCTCATCCTCCTCGTTTGACCCTAAGAAGTAGATGCAGTTGTTACCTTTATTTTATTTCCCTCATTTTAAAGACGAGGAAACTGAAGCATAGGAAGGTCATGTCACTTGCCCAAGGGAGTGGTAGAGCTAGAATCCCAATGCAGGCACGGTGGTTCTGGAGGCTTTACTTCTACTACTCTGTATACTTCTTTAGCAATGAAATAATTTTTTATAGATTATAGCAAATTATACTAAACAGTCTGTTTACTCCATCATCACACTTAGTTTCTCCATCCTTCTCCTTTAATCTTTTTTTAAAAAAGATTTTATTCATTTAATTTGACAGAGAGAAACAGTGAGAGAGGGAACACAAGCAGGGGGAGGGGGAGAGGGAGAAGCATGTTTCCCGCTGAGCAGGGAGCCCGATGCAGGGCTCGATCCCAGGATCCTGGGATCATAACCCGAGCCAAAGGCAGACACTTAATGACTGAGCCACCCAGGTGCCCCTAATCTGTTTTTATATAATTACATATATATCTCTTGTAGAATTTTGAAATATTTAATTTTAATGCAAAAGCATTAATTTTTAAAAACAAGATTATCATTTAGAAACTTCCATTTATAATAAATTTTAAATTCTGTTTAGACTTCTAGAGAATCACAAACATAGAGTTCATTTTCTAAATCTGTACTGATTGCCTAAACATTAAATGTGTAGCAGATGAAAATTTAATAGAATTTTATTAAGTATTCCCATTAAAATATCACATTTTGAATAAATTCAAAGGATGGGAAGAATGAAATTTTGTGATTTTCCTGATCTAGAAAAGTTAATGTTTTCTGTTGGAAATGTCACTGTGAGGTAGAATAGCCTCTTATAAAGGGCTTGGAATCTTAAGACAAAGGTAAAGGGGAAAATTTTATACAGACAGAATTATTCTTTTATTTATTTATTTGAAGTAATCTTTACACCAAGTGTAGGGCTTGAACTCACAACCCTGGGATCAAGAGTTGCATGTTCCACTGACTGAGCCAGCCAGGCACCTCCGTACTATCAAAATTAATTCTTAAGTACCTTCATTTATTCCCTTGAAATAGTATGCATTCTCTCTTTATACATACGTATGTATGATTTGTAATGTGTATGGTAACTGACAATATAAAATAAAATTTATATAGCATAATAAAATGTGTACAAAATGTAGGGTTTTTTGTTTGTTTGTTTTGTTTTCGGCAGAGAGAAAGAAAGCATATGTGAACAGAAGCAGAGGGAGTGGCAGGCAGAGGGAGAAGCAGACTCCCCCTAAGCAAGAACCCAATGTGGGACTTGATCCCAGGCCTCTGGGATCATGACCTGAGCTGAAGGCAGATGCTTAACTGACTGAGCCACGCAGGCGTCCCCAAAATGTAGTTTAATAGTAGTTTGACTGCTACATAATAGTAGTAGATTCACTGTTACTCTAGGATAGTGTGAAGAATTGGATTCTACATAAATTTAATGTGCTAGGGACCTAACACAGGAAGAGACAGAACTTTTCCCCTATATGTGGCTTGCTTTCTAAGGAAACATTTCTGAGATGCTGTCATCAAGGGAGAATAAAAATTCACAACTGTCCTTTTATTTCATTCAATGCATTCTCCTTTGATGTTGTTACCATTAATATTTTGAGAAAGAGAAAAGGGATCTCGCTAATTCATTTAGCACTCGTGGGTATCTTTATACTTCTCTCGTTTATGCTGTTCACACCTCTCTCCTTCTGCCTCTGTAGTTATGTGAAGAACTATTTGAGAAAATCAATGACAACTGTAATGAAGAAATGTCTTATTCTGTAGAGGTGAGTACAACCGTGGGTTAAATAAAGCCACAGGCCTCTGGGCTCCGTTGCCTCCATTCCAGTGGGCCCAAGTGATGACTGTGGATCATTTAACCACTCTCCCAGTTTTGTATTCTTAGGCTACTTCTGAGTTTTGGTCATCATGAATAATGTTGCAATTAAATCCTTGTTCATAAGTCAGAAGCTTGTTCATAAGCTTTGTTTTTAGTTATTTCCTTTACGTATCCGGTTGTCTAACAATACATGTGAATTGCCAAATAGCTTTTTAGAAGGAAACACTGTACCAATTTCCAGTCCCATCAGGAGGGTGTAAGTACCCATTGTGTCATTGCCAACTTGTAGTATTTTTGTTTTTGTAAATTATAAATATGCCTATTTACATTTTGAGATTGCAGTGTTTATCTTAATCATCTGTGTGAATTCTTTCCCCCTTTCATATTTATTAATAGTGATTTGTGACAGGCATTGGTGTTTGTTTTTGAAGATTTTATTTATTTATTTGACAGAGACAGTGAGAAAGGGAACACAAGCAGGGGGAGTGGGAGAGGGAAAAGCAGGCTTCTCGCCTAGCAGGGAGCCCGATGCGGGCCTTGATTCCAGGACCTTGGGATCATGACCTGAGCCGAAGGCAGAGGCTTAACGACTGAGCCACCTAGGCGCCGCCCGGACATTAGTTTTTAAATTCTGTATAATCAGACCTCCCCTTCCCCCTTTTTAATTGCCTACAATCTTAGACAGTTATTCTTCACCCAGTGTATACTCCAGCTCTTTGAAGAAGAGGTCTGTAGAATTACATTGTATACATACATTCATTTATTTGATTAACATTTCTGCTCATTGATATGTGCTTTTTGAAGCTGTTTCACTTACCTCCTGCTTTGCTACTCAGTTCTGTAGTAACTGAAATTAAGTGTTCTGTTAACATGAGCCTGTTGTTCTGAGACATGAAGCTGTTTTTAAGCAAACCTTTTTTTTATGTATGTGTTGTGATGTTCTATAGGACTTACACAATTCCAAGTTGACCCACATAGCTGGTCAACTTTTCTTTACCTATAAAGTGTTGCATAAATCTATAAATTTTAGAGAATTCTGCCTTGTGACTATCATACACCAAAATGGGAATGTGCTGCTCTAAAAATATTTTTGTTAAAATTAATTCTCTAAATAACTTGTCTCATCCTATATTCTTTTTGACAACTAAATGTATAACAAATGAAAATTCAGTAGATTTTATTCTTATTAAAATATCACATATTTTAAATAAATTCAAAGGATAGACAGAGTGATAGAATGTGACAATTTTTTGAGCTTGTAGATAATAAAAGAAGATGCCATGTCCTTTCATATTGGAGTTCACGCTTGCTTGGAGTGCGGTGTAGTTGATACTGTACTTCCTTATGTTGGGACCTCTACCCTCTCTCCTGCTTCTCTCCTTTATTTTCTCCAGCCACACTGGCTTTTTGGCCGTTTCTGGAACAATAGGAACTTTTCCTACCTCAGGGCCTTTACATTTACTTTTTTTTCTGCCTGAAATTTTCTTCCTTTGTATATCTTCTTGTCTAAGTATTTCAGCTCCTTCAAGTCATTTGCCCAAGGCTTACCCTCTCAACGAAACTTACTTTGACCACCTTATTTAACCCTGCAGCTGGCCCTCCAGCCCAGCACTCCTGGTCTCTCTCGTCCTGTTCTCCCTCCCCCTCCACCCCACCCCAGTTCTCTTCATGTTCTAACCTACTTTAGAATTCTGTTTATTTATGTATTTGTCACATTTTTATTTAGAATCATAAACTCGCTGGGGCAAAGATTTTTGTCTGTTTTATTTACTGATGTGTGCCAAGTGCCTAGAAAATGCCTGGAAGATGTTGCTGTTCAGTGAATTGAATTTGCCGCGTGGGGGCTGTAGTGGCTGGTTCGGAAGTAAAGGAACTAGTGCTGGCTTTAGGTGGGTTTGCGTGTTAGAGAATAAGTAGCAGAGCACAGCAGCCCTACCTAGGTTACTTGGGTCCTCATACTCCCACACCTGGGTGAAAAGGGACAACAAATCATTCAAAAAGATGTAGTATCCTTCTGGAACTCCAGAGTGTATGTCCAAGTTTAAGTACTACACAGGAATGTTAAAGTGCCATTTCACTTTATAGGAAGACCTGATTTAAGAAGGCGTACTTGTTGTCCTATTGTTTTAATCTCATAGGGGATCAGTTACTCAAGGGTTCTCCATATTTTAAAAAACTGATTCTAAAATGCAGTATAGATATACAGTCAGTGGGACGCCTGGGTGGCTCAGTCGTTAAGCCTCTACCTTTGACTCAGGTCATGATCCCAGGGTCCTGTGATGGAGTCCCGCATCAGGCTCCTGCCTCGGTGGGAAGCCTGCTTCTCCCTCTCCCACTCCCCTGCTTGTATATCCTCTCTTGCTCTGTCTTTGTCAAATAAATAAATAAAATCTTTTTTTTTTTTTTAAGATTTTATTTATTTATTTGACAGAGATCACAAGTAGGCAGAGAGGCAGGCAGAGAGAGGGAAGGGGAAGCAGGATCCCTGCTGAGCGGAGGGCACGATGTGGGGCTCGATCCCAGGACCCTGAGACCATGACCTGAGCCGAAGGCAGAGGCTTAACCCACTGAGCCACCCAGGTGCCCCAATAAATAAAATCTTTTTAAAAAAATAAAAATAAAAAGTATACAGTCAGATCTGAGACTGAGTGAAAGAAAAAGCAATAGAAATGGCGGTTCTGTTGTTTCAGACACTTGGAAATGTGTCTATAGAAATTTAAAGTATACAAGTGCCAAATTTTATTGTGTGCTTGAATAGCTCAGGATACACAAGAGAAGAGCAAAGTGAGTCTTCCTGTGGTGAATTCCCCGCTCCAGAGCCTTATTTGCCTAGAAGTTTGATCTTACAGATAAATCAGGACCAGAAGCAACCTTCAAAGCCAGACTCTTGAGTGAAGCTCATTTGACTTATGAAACCACTACTTTTATTTGTTACTTTCCCTTTTATTTGTTATTCTTCCCTAGACCAGAACATTAAACATTAGCAAGCTTGGTATATTATCTTATCTTCCTGTGGACAGACTTATGTTGGAACCCTGCTGGGTTTTTAGTGAGCATGGAGTTAGAGAGGGAGGAGTTTCCTAGATGAGTGAGATGTTGGCTTGCTTCAGGTAAAGAAAGGATAGTCTGAGACCTTCATCTCCACGATAGGAATGGTCCTGCTGGTGGGACGAGAGTTCCAGCAATGTACTAGCTGAGGCTTCCTCTTCCCTCACCAGTCGTGGACAGGTCTTGCCATGCCGTCAGACTCCATGCTGACCAGTCCTCACTCCTTGTGGTAGATACATGGTTTGTGTGTGGTTAGTGTTACCGTACTGGGGTTGCTGGTCTCTTTTTTGTCTTCCCTGCTCCGGAACATTGGCAGTATTTCTTTATGTTAACACTAATAGAATTTTTATTTCCAAGCTTTTAGGGTAACCTCACTGTAACCCTCAATTATTGGCAACAGCATACATTTTTAGAAGTGTATTAGTAACGGGTAAGTTGCTACTAAAAATGGTATTTTTTCTGACTTAGGTAGTGGCTGCTGACTGCTGAGGTAGCCTTCTTAGTTCTTTTTCTTTCCTGAGTCTGTCAGAAGGCTGGTTCTAAGCTAGACAGTGATGTCTGTGCGACTGTTAATAGAATGAAATGGACTAGACCTATGGCATTTCTCTTTGTAAAGATTGCTGATCTCTCATTGTCGAGCTGTTTTTTTTTTTAAGATTTTATTTATTTATTTGACAGACAGAGATCACAAGTAGGCAGAGAGGCAGGCAGAGAGAGAGGGGGAAGCAGGCTCCCTGCTGAGCAGAGAGCCCGATGCGGGGCTCGATCCCAGGATCCTAGGATCACGACCTGAGCTGAAGGCAGAGGCTTTAACCCACTGAGCCACCCAGGTGCCCCTGTAGAGCTGTTTTTTACAAGTAATCTCTGTGCCTAGTGTGGGTCTTGAACTCATGACCCCAAGATCAAGAGTTGTGTGCTACACGGGCTGAGCAGCCAGGCACCCCTAATTGTAGAGTTGGGTTTTTTGTTTTGTTTTGTTTTTAATATTTTATTTTTTGACAGAGACAGAGTACACAGCAGGGGAGCTACAGAGGGAGAGGGAGAAGTAGGCTCCCCACTGAGCAGGGAGCCTGATGCGGGATTCTATCCCAGTACGCTGGGATCATGACCTGAGCTGAAGGCAAATGATTAACTGAGCCACCTGTGCGCCCCAACTGTAGAGCTTTGAATAAAAGTATAAAAAGAATTTTTAATATATAGGATTTCTTTTTCCAAGTCCTCCAGTTCACTTAACAATTTGTTCTCAGGTGAGCTACATGGAAATTTACTGTGAAAGAGTACGAGACCTGCTGAATCCAAAAAACAAGGGTCATTTGCGTGTGCGCGAACACCCACTTCTTGGCCCATATGTGGAGGATCTGTCCAAGCTGGCAGTCACTTCCTACACAGACATTGCTGACCTCATGGATGCTGGGAACAAAGCCAGGTATGGTAGAAATAGACTAATGACTAAGGGCTTTGGCGCCTTTTCAGGTCCTTTGTTCCCAGTTAAGGATTTGAGACCACCTTTGTACTTAGAAAGTTGCTTTAATTGTAGATCCTCTGATCCCTTGGCTGTGCTGGGGTAAAAAGAAAGGCCTTCAGCATATTCAGCGTCTTCTCATCAAAATAATGTAGTGCGGAAACAGGCAGAACGTTGGTTAAGTTAAAATATCAGGTTTTGATTAGGTTGTGGTAAAATGTTGGATAACCCTATGCCTGTGGAATTAATTGTGGAATAAAGAATACAAATTAAATGCCCCGGCGGTTTCTAAAGGGACAACTGAGGTATAAAAAATGATTCTGATGGGAGACCTTTGGATTTGGGGATAACTTGATAAGCTCACAAATAAGGTGTATTGAGAACAATTTGTGCAGTGACAGTCTCGTGATCTATGAATAAAGCTGTTGTTTCTGATTGTTATAGTTATGCTATCCATTTTAACTTTCGTCTAAGAATTCCATTGTCACATGTCACCTTTATGTTTATTTAGGACGGTGGCGGCTACCAACATGAATGAAACAAGTAGCCGTTCCCATGCTGTGTTTACCATTGTTTTCACCCAGAAAAAACATGATACTGAGACCAACCTTTCCACTGAGAAGGTAGGACAATGTCAGTGTCCGGGCTTGAGTTGTATGGAATGGGGATTTTCAGAAGTCCCTCTGGCTACTCTCTGCAGCTTATGGAGCGGAGAAAGTTACCCTTTTTTCTTAAGAGAATATTTTGTATCTTTTGCTTGTCATTTTTATTCCCATCCAAAAGCAATTTTGAGTCAAATTTTTTGGGGTTTTGAGTGATATTGCAAGATAGAAAATAGGGTTAAGAGAAAACAGAGACTTTGGGTCTCAAACTACTCTGTTCAAAAGAATTAAGCAGTTCTGTGGGGAGAAAATCTTTCCTTTTTTATTTCTTGACTAGAATCTCTTAATTACTTGTTTGGTATATAGATTTTTGTTTGTTTATTTGTTTTGAGCCCTGATAATGTTATTGGGGGGTTAAATATTTAAGCAACAATCAAGCAGACAAGGTGTGTTTTTCCTTGGAAAGCAAAGGACTGCACAGTGCCTGTGATACTCTTTGAATACCTTGCTTGTTCCTGTCTCCTTTTCTACAGTAGTTAAATGTAGTAGACTTTGGAGTTAAACTGCTTTCTTTAGATGGTGCCTCTGCCACTTTACAGCACTGTTACCTTGGGCAAGTTACTTACCTCTTTGTGCCTCAGTTTTCCCAACCTCATGGGATTGTTAAGATGATTAAATATTGATACAGGTTAGTGCATGTAACAGTGCCTGACTCAGAGTAACCATTCAGTAAACGTGAATTTACTGTGTAATAAATTTATGTTGAATTCTTCTCTGCCTATGTATCTAAGTAGCATGCCACTGGATTTTTAAACCTGAAGTTAGATTTATTATACTGGTAGTGATGAAAGATCCTTTGCATTATAAACTGAGTAATTTGTGATACTGACATCACTAAAAACTAGGATCACCTTTTACTTGGTGACTTGTTTTTAGCTGAAAATTATTTTATTTTTAAAAAAATTTTTATTTAAATTCAATTTAGTTAACATATACCATGTTATTAGTTTCAGATGTAGAATTTAGTGATTCATAAGTTATGTACAACACCCAGTGCTTATTCCATCAAGGGCCCTCCTTAGTGCCTGTCCTCCAGGTACCCATTCCCACACCCACCTCCCCTCCAGCAGCCCTGTTTGTTTCCTAGAGTTAAGTCTCTTATGGTTTGCCTCCCCAGCTGAAAATTATTAAAAAAAAACAAACAAACAACCTTCATATAGGTGATCAGATAACTTGACATTGCTTAGCTAGTTACAATATTAATGCTATTTACATCTTGAGTGAAAACATTTTTTCCTTTCTTCTATGATGTCCCGTCTACAAAAATAATTACGTTAATCCTATAACCAACAGTTCCCTTGATAATCCATTTCGGATACTTTTGTCTAACTTTCCCAAAGCTTTATTTTTTTTTAACAACTTTTATTGATTTGTTGAAGTACAATAGACCACACATAAAGTATAAAATCAGATTAGTGTGTATGCACCTGTAGAATCAATATCATAGTCCAAGTCGTAGCCACGTCCATTCCCCTGAAAAGCTGCCTCATGCCACCTTATAATAACCGTGTCACTCCTTCCACCCTCGTACTTACTAGGCAGTTCTGATCTGCTTTTTGTCACTACAGATTAGTTTACACTTTTCAGAATTTTATAAGAATGGAATGAATAGTATGTACTGTTTTCTTGCCTTGCCTCTTTCTTAGCATAATTCTGAAATTCACCTGTGTTGTTTTGTGCAACAGTAGTTCACTTGTTTTCATTGCTGATTAGTATTCCATTGTATAGCTAGATCACAGTTAGTGCATTAACTCGCCTGTTGGGGGGCATTTAAATTGTTGACAGTTTTTGAGCATGAAAATGAAAAAGCCATGAACATTTGTGTACAAGTCTGTATGGCTGTTTGCTCTTGTTTCTCTTGGTAAATACCTGGGAGTGGAGTGGTTGAGGCTTATGGTAGCATATGTTAAGCTCTGTAGGTCTACAATTCTGCTGAACTGCCTTCCAGAGTGATTGTATCCTTTTCCATTCCCACCAGCAGTGTGTGAGGGTTCCAGTTGCTGGAGGCTTCATATTTAATGTGCCATTTATTGGGTTAATGAGTTTTTTGACACATTGTTATAACATATGTCCTGTGTATCTTAAAATGACTTATTTTGAACCAAGGTAATTGCTGTGAACTTTTGTGCCTGCTGTGTCTCCCTGTGCCGTATGTAAGAGCTCTAACAAGTATTTGTAGTCTTCTGCACGCCTAATTTTTAATTTCCTGCCTCTTGGTGTTTCCTGGTTCTACCTGGCTGGTTTTTGAATTGCCCCAATGTCCTTGTTCTTGACCAGGTTAGTAAAATCAGCTTGGTGGATCTGGCGGGCAGCGAGCGAGCCGACTCAACTGGCGCCAAAGGGACGCGATTGAAGGTACTGATTTTATCAAGCAGCTGACTTAGTCAGTAAACGCTCTGTAGCACAGGCCAGCAAACTGTGGCCAGCGGGTCAAATCTGACCCGCACCTGTTACTGTAAATGAAGTTTTACTGGGATACAGTCCCCTCTATTTGTTTGTGTGTTGTCTCTAACGGTGAGGCTGAGAGCTTGTGACAGAGAACACATGGCCTGCAAAACCTTTACAGAGACATTTTGCTGACGCCTGATCTGTAAATTCGATGGAAGATAAGTAACGTAATGTGATAGTTAAGGAGGACTTGATGGTCAAGGTGAGAGCTGAAAGGTGTTCTGAGGAACAGGCTAGATGGAAGTATCCCTGATGGGACAGGGACACACAAGATCCAAATGTGAGAACACACGCAGCCCTTTCCAGAGGGATGGCTGCTTAACAAGAGCAGAAATCGCATGTTGGTGAGTTGGGGGAAGAAGGCAGCGTCTGTAAGCTGTTGGGGCAAGCCATCTTGCCCATACTCAGGACTGTGAGTTAGGCGTGTGGTCCTGGCGTGGCATTAATGTGAACAGGGGAGACTGTGGACTAAAAGAGGTTTTTAGGATTTGTGGTCGTAAGTCAACAAAGAGTGCTAGCTCAGTTGTATCCTGTGCGTTATAGATGATGTGGCCATAGAAGATACTCTTCATCATAATTCTTTCGTGTTTGGTATTGATTTCAGGAAGGAGCGAATATTAATAAGTCTCTCACAACTCTGGGCAAAGTCATTTCAGCCTTGGCAGAGGTGGTAAGTATTATATACTTGATTACATGGGAAAACTTATCTGTTCAGCAAATGTACTTGATGATATTTTATGTGTTTATGAAGACTGACCTTTTTTGGCCCTTTTGTGTAATCTTGCTTTCTCCTTTTAGAGCTTTTCAGATAAGATACTAGGTATAACACACTTTGACTTTCTACCGAACACAAAAGAGATCAAGGAGAGTGAAAGTAAACATAGATCTGTAGAGGCCAGACTGAAAACTATTTACGAAGACCTAGGGTTTGGTTGCTTTTTGAGCCTTACTTCAGATCTCTCATCAAAACCAAGGATTTTGTTGCATTGTGCACAATCTTTTCCTATACAATCTTTTTAAAGTAGGTTACTGTACCTTTTGGAGTTTTTTTAAGCATTTGCCTTGGTGAATGCTGTTGATTTGGGGGCCAGTAATATATTTTTTAAAGTTGTGTTATTCTTTCCTATTCTTTAACAGTGGGATACTGTAACTGCAACAGTTTTGTATCACGGGCTTCATTTTTTAGATTAAAGGCTAAGGAGGTACTAGTCATTGTATACTCTAGTTTAGTACATCATTTGAATCCCTAAAAAGAATTAGATGCTTTCTTGCTTGTTTCTGAAAAGTCATACTCAATTTATTACTTTAAAGTACTTTCTTTTTTAAGGCTTAATCCTGTGTTCTTTCTTTTAAATGCTTCATCTGTAGGACAACTGCACCAGCAAGGTACGGAGGGGTTTGGTAGGAATGAACTAGCTGTAGAATCAATTGTGATGATTGTGAATCCTCAGCAGGATGTATGGAGGCATAAGTAGGAATGGAGCCTTGAAAAATAACTTTTTGTTACTTGCTTTCTGGCTCTGGAATTTTGAATTGCTGTTCAGAGTGACCACGAATCATGAGACTGCACACCAAACCTAATTTAGGGAACATGATTTGCTTTGGAGAGGGAATGTAGAATAAAGGAACAAGAGGGAAAATGAGGAAGCATCTGCATTGTGTTTTTTTTTAATGTTTCTCTTAGTGATCTGTGGGACTGTCACTTGAAGAAGTCACCTTTAAAGCTCTTGAAAGGGCAATGAAGATATTTCTTATGGGTACTCTTCTAAAACATAACTGCCTTCTTGAAAGTATTAGGATTTTTTTCTTAAACCTCTTTGTATAATCTTGTTTCCTATCATGAAAAGTCATGGATTATTTAAATTGTTAAAAAAAATTTTTTTCCTACTCTTTGGTTATATATAAAGTGAAGGCTGTAGAATCAAGTTAAACTCCATCTCTAGAACACATGCTCTTTGGGGCGTCTGGGTGGCTCAGCATTTAAGTGTCTGCTTTTGGCTCAGGTCATGATCCTAGCTTCTGGGATCGAGCCCCATATCGGGTTCCCTGCTCAACGGGGAGCCTGCTTCTCTCTCTCCCCAGATCCCCTGTGCTTGTGTTCTGTCTCTCGCTATATTTCTGTCATAAATAAATAAAATCCTTTTTCTTTAAGATTTTATTTATTTAACAGAGAGAGACACAGCGATAGAGGGTACACAAGCAAGGGGAGTGGGAGAGGGAGAAGCAGGCTTCCCACGGAGCAGGGAGCCCAATATGGGGCTCGATCCCAGAACGCTGGGATCGTGACGTGAGCCGAAGGCAGCCGCTTAATGGCTAAGCCACCCAGGTGCCCCAAATAAATAAAATCTTTAAAGAAAAAAGTTCTTTTGCATCCTCTTAATCCAAATACAATAGACTTTTCCTTATATTTCTATACACATACTCTAGAATTTCTTAGTACTATTTTGCATTAATAATAGAGCCCTCAACAGTTTTGAATCACATGAATAACATTGGAGATAAAAGGAGTATCTGCAATGAATTATTTTATTTTTAAAAAGATGTTACTTAATATTTGAGAGTGAGAGAGACAGGAAGGAGCAGAGGCAGACACTTAACTGCCTGAGCCACCCAGGTGCCCCTGCAAAGAAATATTTTATACTTATATTTTAAAATATATAGGTTTGTTCTCTACTTGTACACAAATTACTTAATAGAAAGTAATGCTTTGTTTCTTTTGGTTTATTGGAAAAGCTGCCTTAGATTTAAAAAGTCTGTTGTTTGATTTTATGTATGTGTTGGTATTCTTCAGATACCTAATCTGAGTCCCCAGACATGAAAACTGTTAAAATTTAGTGGTTTTTCTAACTTGTCCATGTACTCATTTTTAACATTCATTATCAACCAGAGGATAAGTTTACAAAGTATTTACCTGCATATTTCCCATATTGCTCTGTGTCGCAATCATTTGCAAATGATTTTTTTAGGATTAGTTTTGGAAAATCCAGTTTAGAACTTCGCATTTATGCCATAACTATAATAGATCAAAGACAAATTTTAATTTTTATGTAATAAGTATAATTTTGGGTGAATTAAAATATACCGTTATTTCTACTGGGGAGGGAAACAGGATTACACTGTCCGTATTTGATAGTATTTCTTTTTAGAGAGGCTAGTGATGTCAGTAAGTAAACATTTTTAGGTAATTACTGAGGCCCTTATTTGTGAGAATAGATGAGATTAATAATGTAAGAGAGCAAATAGAAAAGAAGTGGCTAAAATTCTGAGATATTTTCAAATGGAAAAGGTAGAAGTTCTGTTAATGGTTCTTTATTTAGCTACTCCTTCTTAATTTAGTCTAATTGACCAAAATGAAAATAGAACATTGTTTGGGAAAGAGACACTACTTATTTTTATAGTACTGCTTGCCGTCCTTGTAACTGATAAATTAGCTCTTGCAGCATTTTCAGTACTAACCGTAGGCAAAGTGGAGTGTTCAGGTGTGGTGAGGGGCTAGAGAAGGAAGAAAGGTCTCAGGCCTCAGGAATTTTGCAGTGCACTGATTCTCCCACTAAGCTGTGGAAGGCAGAGAGGTAATTCTCCTTACGGGTCTGTGTCATTTAGAAATAGATCCTGCTGTGGGAAATGACTTTCTCATTGGTGGAAAGTGTGTCTGTGGGTGGACTAGGATGAATTGGAGGGGATGTTTTTGATAAGAGATGGAACTAAAGTGCTACTTGCCTACTCCCTTTACTCCTCAACAGACCAGAGGTCAGCTACTTAGTACTCTTTTTCTGAATACCCATGCTTTCGCAAGAACTGGATCATCCTTAGTTTAACCTTTAACCTCAGATTATACCAGGACTGGGGAGAGATGTTTTATCAGTGAACCCTGGCTTCCTTTAGTGGCTTCTTAAATTGTCACGACTTAGTCGTCAGCCAGAACAAACTGCAGTAGGTATTATCTGCAAAAGATTTGAATTAATTTTTACTTTGAAAGGATATAATTCCATTTTAGTACTGGCTTTGTATTGGTGCCTTTTGCTCTATCTCATGATAATGCGAAGGGTCACAGCTGTATAAGTAAACGCTTAATACGTATATGCGGACAATTCATCTCGCAGCCTTTACAGATCTTCAGTTTAGTAAATCACATCATTGTCTTAGACCTTTTCACCTTGAGGCCTAACTCTGTCGGTTGGATTTATTTGGGGTATAATTTCCTTCTAAAGAAACCAAATGTATATTACTTTTACAAGAGTTGTTAGAGATGCAGCAGTCCACTTGATGATTTGGTGGTTGGCCAAGTAAATTTGTTAACTAAATGACTTGGCTCCTATACATCTAACCTGCAATGCCCAGGATTCATATTTGCCCCTCTGCAAAAGTGAAATACCATTGTTTGAGGCTTGGAAATGAGAACAGTGTTAAGGAATTATTGTTAATTTTGTTATGTGTGATATGGTCTTACGGTTCTGCTTAAAAGAAAAAAGTTCTTCTCTGTTGGAAATATGTATCTAAAATATTTATTTATAGGTGAAATATTGGATTTGCTTTAAAACACTACCAGCTGTAAAAGATATGATATAGACACGATATTGGATAATAGTATATTGAGTTAAATTTCCTGAATTTGGTCATTAAAATGTGACTGTAATAAGTAAGAGAATGTCCTTATCTGCTGAAATATTTAGGGATTAAAAGGCATGGTGCCTGCAATTTATTCAAAATGGTTCAGGAAGAAAAAGTGTAAAGTGTAATGAAACATGATTGCAAAGTATTGATAATGGTTGGAGTTGCATGATGGATGTATGGTAGGTCATTATGCTACTCTCTAAACTGTTGTGTATGTTCTAAATTTTTCAAAATAAAATATAAAAAGAAAAAAATTATTTTATTGCATGAACTTTGGGTATTGTGAAGAATTGAAGCCTGAATGTTAAATTTCTACAGTGATGGGGTTCTACTGTAGTTTACTTAGGAATTTTAGACTGGTTTGCCTTTCATGTGAATTTTTCCTCCCTAACAATGCTAAGACCATTTCTTTCTGTTTAATAGAGTAAGAAGAAGAAGAAGACTGATTTTATTCCTTACAGGGATTCTGTACTTACTTGGCTCCTTCGAGAAAATCTAGGTATGTCGATCACTGGTGTGTAGTTTCTGTTTAACGCTGTTTACTGATTATCTTTTGTGGTTATTTGTCTTTTATGTTTGTTTTGGAGAAAATTAATCTCCAGATACCCATGTTACTCTTGATTTAAGTTGGTTGGATTTGCTCACTCTTTAATCAGGGTTCTCTCCCGCATCATGTTGAGCTCAGAACAGGGACTGGTGTGGTGGTCTTCCTAACCACATCTGCTTCAAAACTATTGCTCCTTCTTCAAACCTCTTTTGGAAACTCCGTGTTACCTTTATGCTGGTGGTTTGTTTTTTTTTTTAAGATTTTATTTATTGATTTGACAGAGAGAGATCACAAGTAGACAGAGAGGCAGGCAGAGAGAGAGAGAGGGAAGCAGGCTCCCTGCTGAGCAGAGAGCCCGATGCAGGACTCGATCCCAGGACCCTGAGATCATGAACTGAGCCGAAGGCGGCGGCTTAACCCACTGAGCCACCCAGGCGCCCTTTGCTGGTGGTTTTTGACCTCCAGGTCATTCTCTTTATTCTCTGTTCTGTTAGCCTCTTTCTCTCCTTATGAGAAGGGAGTGATAAGCTATGTCAGATGTCGCTGATAGGAGGAAGAGGCTTGAGAATGGCCCACTGGCCTGTCCACGTCACTGTGACTTGGACTCACTAAAGGCATTTTGGTGGAGTGGCTGAAGTCTCCACTGGGGTGGGAGAGGGAAACTGTCAACAGTAGATCCAAACACCAAGATTAACAGTGTAACAGTGCCCGACATGGCAGCATGCAAGACATTTGTTGACTCTTGACTAAATATTAGGATCCGAGGTGGTGTTGTCTAATTGGACATAAATTTAATAAAATTCTTCTTTCTAAAATGTGTATGATTTGCGATAACCATGATTCGTCTTCTTAGGTGGAAATTCTCGAACTGCAATGGTTGCTGCTCTGAGCCCAGCAGATATCAACTATGACGAAACTTTGAGCACTCTGAGGTACTCCCAGTTGATCTTGATGGCTAAATAGATTACCGTGCCACATAAGTCATTTTGTTACACCGTTGGTTTTCTTATGCTATCTGGGTAAATTTTTATGTAAGTAATGATCCATCCCTCTCATAAGAGGGAAAACATGGGTTGGGGGAGATTTTCATTTTTATTTATTTTATTTTTTGGGGTGGGGGGGATTATTATTGTAATAGAATTGACCTGTTTATGGTTTTCAGTTTCACTTTCAGTTTGTTACAATTTTCATTTCTGTAAAAAGAAGTTCCCTTGCGGTGGTTGTCATTATAGAGATGCTCAGCTCTTAACAAGTAACACAGCTATGAGTGTACGTAGTGTTAAAAAATTACAGGCTCTTCACTAGTAGAATATAGTTGGCTGTTGAACAACACAGTGGTTAGGGGTACCAAACCTCTGCACAGTTGGAAAACTGCATATAACTGGACTCCCCAAAAACTCGAATTACTAACAGCCTGCTGTTGACCAGAAGCCTTACTCATAACATAAACAGTTGACTAAGCAATATTTTGTATGTTGTACGTGTACATAGGTATATGTATATAATGCATATTGTATTCTTACAATAAAGTGAGTGATGGGAGAGAACATGTTATTAAGAAAACCATAAGGAAGAGACAACACATTTACAGTACTGGACTATATTTATAAAAAAAAAATCTGATTATAAGTGGACCCATGTAGCTCTAACCCATGTTGTTCGAGGGTCAGCTGTATTTCTATATATGAATAGTTTTCATTACTTTAATCTAGAACTTTCTACTCTTCTCCTGGTGATGGAAAGAACCCTATACAGTCTGACAAATGCATTTTAGGTCCTCTTTCTGGTGTTTATTTCTTTTATGATTTGGGGTAAATCACTAAAATTCATCTGAGCCTTTTTCCTCAACTCGGTAAGATACTATAAAACTTTCTGATGCACCTACTGTTAGTAAGGCTCATGAAGTGTGCAAATGCTCAAGCTGTTTGATTTAGAGATAGAAGTAATGGTACGTTACTTAGGAGAAGTGGAGTATCAGCGGAATGGCAAAAATGAATGTTCTTTCTGGATATAGATATGCAGACCGTGCAAAACAAATTAAGTGCAACGCTGTTATCAATGAGGACCCCAACGCCAAACTGGTCCGCGAATTGAAGGAGGAGGTGACGCGGCTGAAGGACCTTCTCCGTGCTCAGGGCCTGGGAGATATTATTGATAGTAAGTGAATTAAGGGTCAGCACAGACTCTGATCTGTCTTCAGGGTGCTTGTGTTTAAACTTAGATTCAAAGCACATGATGAAGTCAGATTGTAGAAAATGGTTTTGTTTTTTATTTTAAAAAAATCCAGTGAAAATGATCTCAGAATCTTCCTTTATGTAATATAGATAGACTAGTAGTCTATCCAGCTGAACCCATGAAATTCGTTTTTAAAATGTAAATATGTTATTGCTTATATTTTTTATTAGATTTTCATTTTAGATGAGCTTATTCTGAGAAATTAACCACTTCGTAAAATCGTTCCTTGAAATTTTTGTTTTTGTATTAGGGGCTTCTCTGGATTAATGCAGTAGTGGTAATACATGTGTAACAAACCTACCATTCCAGTCCCCTTTCGGATTAAGATTTACCTTGGAGTGGTATCTTTCCCCTCCTTCAAAATGGTCGAGGACCACTCCCCACCTGGCTCCCTATGAACACATGAAGGGAAAAATAACCATTTCCTGTCAAATTCAAGAATTAGACTTCCAGAGAATATTATTTTACAGTGTTGTCTTAAAAGGAATCTTTTTTTTAACCTCTGTGATCTGCCTGCATAATGTCTAATCAGAAGTTAACTGGGTGATTGAGGTAGAATAGTATATGGGGTTTATTTGATAAAGCATATTTTTTATTTTTTGAGTGAAAAATTAATATTGTTTGAAATTCTAGTAAGATTTTCAAAGTCTCTTCTAGTTTAGTTCCTCTTACTGATTAGCACCTGAGTTTAAGTGAATACAGTGTGCAAAATGATAATGTATTCTAAGTATTAGTTTTTTTCATCTTCCCCAATGCCAAATGCTGCTCTGTTCCCTCTCTGTGTCACTGCTGAACCTGAACTCTGACCCTTCTTGTATTTTCCCTCCTGCTTACCTTCAGTTGATCCATTGATCGATGATTACTCTGGAAGCGGAGGCAAATGTGTGTATTTCATGCATTGGTTATTTCCAGTACTCTGATTTGCTAATCTGCCTCTGCTGGATCAGCCTTAAAATGAGCTTTGCATGCCAGCAACCCTAACAGGGAAATCCCAGACAGAGCATACCGTAGATTCGGAAATGATCCTGTTTTTGCCCTTCTCCATTTAGCAAATACTGCTGAATTTCAGTTTGTGGGTTAAATAGTTTAGAGGCTTAAGAGTCTCTTGCTGCTTCTGCTGTTCAGTTTTGCCACTTACATGATTAAACTGAATCCAAAGTCACAAGGGATGGTGATAGTGATGGCGCAGCTCACATTTCCTGAGTGTTTATAGTGTGCTGGGCCCCATTCCAGGGACCTTGAGTGTATTATCTCATTTAATCCCGTCCCTGATTCTGGAAAAGATTCCATTATGCCTATTTTACCCCTTGAGGACACCGCTTGCCTGGGGTGGGGTGCTTAATTTGCTACTGAGAGCCCGTGGTTTCTGTGTAGTTAGATTGGATAGTGTAACCTCAGAGCCTTGGTTTTTAAAGTCATTACTATACCTTTTTGGCCTCTTGAGATCCTTCAAGGGTCTGATCATTTAACAGAAAATCCTTTTAAGTTAGCTTTGCAGTTCTGAGCCTTGGTGAATGTACAGTTAAAAACAGTCACTTCCTGTTGGCTGACCTGTCCGCGGCTGAGTAGCTCGGAGTGTTGGGTTAGCACTCACCTGGGCTGATGCTAAGTTAGTTTCCTCCATATTTTGGGCCTCAGCTTCCATGGTGGTTAGGAAGACTTTTATTTCCCTCCTTTTCTGGAATTACAGATTAGATTTTAAGAACTTGGGTGTCTAAATATGTGTTCAAAATGACATTTTTATGAAGGATCACACCTCATTCTCTCCATAGAGACCATTAAGTGGGTGAGGACATTATTTCCTACACTGTTAAGATAATTCACGAGGGAATTTTTATCTTAGAAGAAATGAAGAATCTTGACTTTGTGGTGGCTAAGTTTTAGATTTTAGTTGATTTGCTTATTCATTTAATGAGGCATGTAATAGGGCTTGAAGGGAGGACATCCATTGGAGAAAGCAAACGTAGCCCTGGCTGCCATGATGAACCCAGGCCTTGAAGACACAGTGACACTCCCATACAGAGTGACTCTTGGACTGGAACAGCTCTGTCTGAGATTTCCAAAGCTGACTGATACTGATGTGAGAAAGACATCATCTTGTTCTTGCTTTTGTGCCCCAGGTGGTGCTGCTATCAGCTTGTTGCCTTGCTCTTTTCTGAGCACTTGTGGCATCTCCCAAAAAGCTATGCATGACTAAGTTTTAATTTTGTCTCCATGCAGGAAAGCAGCCCTGACTACTTCTGAATTTCCATTTCAATCTACTACTCTTAATTTCTTTTAGGACTTGCATGTGTCCATTGGACCTTCTGAACTCCACCCGTCCTATTCTTTCCTACCTTGCTGCCGTCACCTAGTGGCGGACTTTTTGCTCCAGTTCCTATCCCCCTTTAGAAACTTGCTTGTTTTCCTATGTTCTGCACTTGCAGATGGTGGTTTTCAAACTGTCTTGAAGCAACCACTGGTTTTAAGGGGTTTCAAGAACTGGTTTTGATTAAGGAGAGATGAGTAGACCACAGATAGAGCAAATACTAATGTTTTCCGACTCTGCATTGACTTGTATCATTTAAAGAAAACTTAGCTTAGTTTTGGTATGAATTTTAAGCAATGTAGGTTTTCTCAAATTTTCAAACATGAGCTAATTGTAAAATAGGAATCCCATCAATACCTACCGTTTTCCCTTGGTGTCTATTTGACAAGAATGACGGATGAAGGAAATACAAACAGCAAATTAATGAGTTTTGTTGTTTGTGGACCTTTTTGTCAAAACTAAATTTGAAAACAAAACTTAAGTTCTATTAAAGACCTTAGTAAGTGAAAGTGTGTCCCTGAAACTTGAATTTCATAGTAGGAACTCGGCTTACCAGGGACTCATGGTAGTAGTGTTCGGCAGAGTAAGAGCCTCACTTTGAATAATTAGCAAATAATCAGCCTTGATTTTTGCTTGCTCTAATAGATGAATGTAAACTCTCCCAATTTCATTAATTTGCTAATTGTTCTTCCCTGTTGAGGTAATTGGCCCTGAGTTCTCAACCAGAACTTAGACAAAATTCTTGAGATCTCTACATTTACCTCTCCTTTTTTAAAAAAAGCATATTTTGAAGGTGCTTCTTATTAGCATGTTGAAATGTTGCTATACAAAGGACACTTCAGATTTTTGTTTTAACTGTAGTATCTTCTTGAGAATTTTTGCTGAATGCTATAAAATACTGGGCCAGGTTGATATCACTGATAAATAAATGTTCATCTTTTTTCCTTACAAACTGCTGGGATTTAAGAGTAGTGGAAATCTAAAACATTGCAGATTTGGAGCTGTAGAGGGGATAGAAGGAATGTAGCACGTCTTGTTTACAGAGAGTGCCTGAGCATTTTCTTTTGAGGCTCTGGTTACCCCCTACCAAACACAATTTTAACCCACCCTGGAATTTTTTAGATTCTAAATTTTTTAGTTTTAGAAGTGGTTCTTAACCTCAAAGATACCAGTATTAAAGACAGACATGTTTTAGAACTGCCATCTAGAAGAACAATTATAACTTGTCTTTGTTTTATAACGTGTCTTTGTCTTGGCGCTTTAATGCGAGCCTTTCTTACACTGGTGTTCCTTCCTGTCTTTTTTCTCCCTCTGCTCCTTTCCCTCTTTTCTACTTTTTCTGCCTTTCCTTTTTTCTGTCTCCCAGATCTGAAAGATTTTCAGAACAATAAGCATAGGTACTTGCTAGCCTCTGAGAATCAACGCCCTGGCAATTTTTCCACAGCATCCATGGGGTCTCTTACTTCATCTCCATCTTCCTGCTCACTCAATAGTCAGGTGGGCTTACCATCTGTCACCAGTATTCAGGAGAGGATCATGTCTACACCTGGAGGAGAGGAAGCCATTGAACGTCTAAAGGTAAGCAATAATTCAGACTGAACGAAGGGTGGTCTATGTTGCTTCACAAAGCAGAGTTGGTCTTAAAAATCACTGAGATTTTTGTTCAGGATGGGGAAGAACTTTCTAACTCTTAGAGGTGTCCTGAACATGGAATGTGCCGCTTTATAAGATAATTAATTTCTTTTTACCAGAATGCTTGAGTCATGACTTTGCCAGGCAGTGATTTGAGAGATGTTTGGCTAGATCATTGGTTGGCCATGAAAATAACTCATAAACAGATAATGTCCTTTAATTCTGAGGTAGTTTATAAGTCACAGGGAAATTGTTTAGTTTGAAATTTAGTAGGAGACTAATTAGTTAGAAGTACTTGGACTCGTCTAAAGGTGGAATTCTGTATAGAGTCATGTTTGTGTTATTAAAATAAATGGACAACCAAAAGAAGGTTTGAGCATGTGAGTAGCTCTACCAAGGTTTTTTCAGAGACATGTGAGATGACAACTTGTGGAAGCTCATAGGAAGTCTTGGAACCCTATCACTGCTGTGGGAGGGCTGCCTCCTCATGTGCTGGGGCCCGTGGGATCAGGGGTCTCTGCGCCGGGCGGCAGGCACGCTTGGACCCTGCGTGTGCAGGTCCACCTGCCGTGGCACCCGGCCTCGCTTTCCCAGTCTGCGGTTGGCTCTGTTGGGAACATTCTTGTCTCTCTTCTTGAGTATGAAAGTGAGCGGAGGCAGCACCTGATGACTTCTGGCTTCTTCCTCCCGCTCAGTGACTGCAGGGAGAACAGACCCTGGCCGTCCCTCAGATCACGGGACAGTATCGTAGACGCAGATTCCTTTTCTTTCCCAGCTCATTGCCTCCAGGGTGATCGTTGGAGCCACACCTTTGGGTCTTTGTATTCCCCATGCCAGGGCAGGGAAAACAAGGAGGGCAGCGAGAGAGTCGTCAGGAGCTGTAGTTGTGCTTGCCGCCCGCAGGCCTCTTTGTGTTGCCCTCGGTGCTCTCCGCAACAGCTGCTTGCTCAGGCACGGCTGAGCAGCGACCTGCTTTGGCGAATGAGTGATGGGAAGGGTTTGCTGAGCCTTTTCACCACCCAAAGGGAATGAAGCTTGATAATCGAAGATGGCAGATGCTTTCATTTCGGTGTTTAGGTGAGGCCAAGAGATTTTATATGAAGAATGGGCCTCTCCTTCTTAATCATTGGCATTTTTTTACTCACTTCTAACCTGAGGTGCTTCAGAAACGAAAATAATGATCTTCTTCCTTCCCTCAGAACATGTTCGTAGGAAGTGGGTAGGTTTCTGATACACCTAGCAAAGGGAGAAGGGTAAGAAATCTTTTCATTTCATTAATTGTTACAGATCAAACGGCAGGCAATTCCTGTTTTTGTAAAATTGCCTTTGAAATTGTAGTAAAGACATTAGTGAAGCCTGTGCAGGACAGCTTCTTGTGTGTGTTTTCACGATGGACGCTGGCGACAAAGTTGCTGTGCGGGGTTCAGTTGGGCCAGTGGGGGAAATGCAGGGCTTCCGTGAGCAGGAAGTGAAGTCTCCTACTTACTATTTAATATAAAATGTTCCTTTTCTTTGGGGATTTTGAATCTTACTAAATCACCTATTAAAGCCTTGGTGTACAAAGAAGATTATAATTTCTGTTAATTTACATCTTGGTGTAAAAGAAAAAAAATTTCCTAACTGCCATGTGGCGCCGTTTGAAAATAACATTGAATGTTAGGAGTCAAGACGTTAACCAGACTCTTTAAGAATTAGGTCACCCAATGTCTTCCAGATAGTTTCTGGGGAATAACACTGCCATTATTCAGGGAACCCTCCCCCCAACCTTCCTCCTTCCCACCAAAACCAAAACAAAATTGTAGGACTTTCCTGAGAAAAGAAATTTCTGTTTTAATTTTCCTTTAAGTCAACGTAAGTGAAATCTTCCATTTCCCCTACCTTTAGAAAATTGCTTCTTACTGGTTTTCATTGGATCCCGAGTTTTAAATGCAGCACAGCAGTCCTCTGAGGCGTAAGTGCCTTCGTTTTGCTCCTGTTTTGTGAATGGTGAGAATTCAGTCCAGCAGACCTGCATTCTAATGCCTCAGGCAGATAGCATTGTGCATGCACAGTGCAAGGCAGTGGTTATGCAACAGAAGTGCTTGAGAGTTCTTCCTTTTCGGACTGCTTCATTGTTGAGTGTTTCGGAGCTGCGTTCCTAAGGCATGATACTGCAGGAGAGAAATACTGTCAGGGAAAACTTTAAAAATATGATCAGTTTGCAAACTATTTTTTGCATAACGTGTTGCTACTGCTTCATTTTTTGAATAGCTTCTTTCCATACAAAAGAGACCCACGTTACCCTATCATAAAAGATCTCGACCCCTCCACAAACCTCTCTGGCAAAAGAGAGTGAAATGTAATTGCTCTCATGTTTTAATCCCAACTCAAACTGAGTTGGATGTCTGTATCCTTGATTTGGATTCTCACAGAGGAAGGTTTTAAACATGTGACTGTAGCGACTGTGCGGTAGCTCTGGTGTTTATTAGTTTAGCATCAGAGCTAGTACTATGAGTGCCATCGCCTAGGCTTGAACTATAAACATCCACAAGTATCCGTTACAGAAGCACGCAAGGGCAGATGCTGTAGGCGGCCGGAGGGCCCCACACTTGGAACACACGGAGCATACTATGTTCAGTACAGTAAAACCTTGGCTCTCTGATGGCTTCAGGGAATGTTCTGTATAGTAAGCATTGAACCTTTTAAATATTACAGTTCAAACTAATTCTTTTTTATGGAAATATTTATGATTTGTTCTGCAGATTTCTCTGCCACCTTAACCAAATCATGACAAAGAAATTAAGTTGTGTTTGGTAGTGTGAACATAATTATTAACAAGTGCTACATAGACAGACATTCGTGACGTGAGACCAAAGTTGAATGGTGCCTGGGCACAGCATTTCTTAGAGCTTTAAGACAAGGTTCCTCATGTCACTGCTTTTTGGAATTTTTTGGTGTGTACTACCTCTGAGAAGGAAGGACTCTTGAAGATTGGCTGGACTCCTCATTTCTGAAGCATGCGTCCCAATTTCCTTTTTTTTTTTTTTTTTTTAAGATTTTACTTATTTATTTGACAGACAGAGTTCACAAGTAGGCAGAAAGGCAGGCAGAGAGAGAGAGAAAGGGAAGCAGGCTCCCCACTGAGCAGAGATCCTGATGCGGGGCTCGATCCCAGGGCCCTGGGATCATGACCTGAGCCCAAGGCAGGGACTTTAACCCACTGAGCCACCCAAGTGCCCTGATGCATCCCAATTTCAATTTAATCTTATAAATTGGGTTTCTAGAGTGGGTTATGGGCAGCACTGGGTACTAGTGTACCAGGCCTGCCTGCAGAGTAAGTTGACAACTCAGAGATCGGAAGTTATCTCCTGTTGGCGTCTCGGTTTTATTTATGCCAAGTTCGCTATTCAGACTTGAAGAAATAATATCCTTCACTCTTTCTTGATTGATGGTGAGCTGTTTTATAGAATATTTTCTTTAAAAGCCTAGTGGTTCTGCCTTAACTGAAGAAAGCATCAAGAGTCAGGAAACCGTACTCTAGGGTTTAGTGGCTCAGGTGTAATGTGGTCTCAGATTAGTCTCTTAGCTTCTCTGGTCCTCAGTTTCTTTATTTCTAGAATGGTTCTGGAATAAATGGCTCTTTCTAGCACTGAACTTTTGCTTAGTATCATTTTCTGTAACCTTTCTTCTTCAGAGTTTTAAAAAGAATAGCTTTTTTTTTTTTTTTTTTTTTTGAGATTTTATTTATTTGAGGGAGAGAGAGCAAGGGCGGGGGAGGAGCAGAGGGAGGAGAAGCAGACTCTCCAGTGAGCAGGGATTCCTGATGCCAGCTCAATCCCAGGACCCGGAGATCATGACCTGAGCTGAGTAGAGGCTTAACTGACTGAGCCACCCAGTGCCCCTAAAAAATAGCTTTTTAGACAACATAAAAATTGCAACGTGAAGCTGTAGTGAAAAATAAAAGTAGTACCATATTCAGCTAACTCATTAAATCTCTCTTTTTTTTAAGATTTTATTTATTTATTTGACAGACAGAGATCACAAGTAGGCAGAGAGGCAGGCAGAGAGAGAAGGGGAAGCAGCCTCCCTGCTGAGCAGAGAGCCCGATGCGGGGCTCGATCCCAGGATCCTGAGATCGTGACCCAAGCCGAAGGCAGAGCTTGACCCACTGAGCCACCCAGGCGCCCCAAATCTCTTTTTTACAAAGAGATTATGCCCTGACCCACCGTCCAGGTGGCAAGTAGAACTAGAGCGTTCGCCTCACGATCGGCAGCACAGTGGAAACGGGATCCCTAGACAGGGATTTTGCGACCTGGGGTGAGTTTACGGTTGCCCCAAAACAGAATAGCTTTCATACAGCCAGATGAATCTCGTACAGACATGATCTTCTCCCGAAAATAACCAACCAGGAGAAAACAGTTTCTCGTGGGTCAGTGTATCCTCCGTCACTAGCACCCGTGGCTTGTGGGCCACCCTCTGTGTGGTAAGCACTAGTCTGGGTGCTCTGTTTGGGCGGCTTGTTGTCCTAGTCCTTTCTTTTCGAAGTTACCATTTCGAGATTGTAAAGGTTTCTACCCGGCCCTACTCTCACGTGCCAGCTCGCCTCGGGTTTGCCCTCCCGGTCCTGTGCGGAAGCATTTAGTGCCGCTCCGTGCGAGCTGTTTGGATAACTCGTAGCGCTGACTGCCCGCTTCGTTCTCGGCACGCTTGCTTTCCCCGCCGTCTCCCTCCTTGCTGAAGCTGCGCGGGTGGGTTTGGTCGCTGGCCCTGTAGTCTGGCCCGTTGCTTCCTTTGTCAGCTCGGAGCGGTGCGTGCACTGCGTGCCAGATCTGTCCTCTTGGGGGCCGCTGGACAGAGCGTTCAGGTAGCCGTTTCAGTCTTTCAGCCTCTGTGGGTGTTTGGAGGGTCCGTGATGGTCAGTTGTGGTTTTGGCTTGTCCTCCCCTCCCCACCCTCCCGCAGACTTGTTCTGGCATCTCCCTCTTTGTCACTGACCCGTTTCTGAATGAGTAGCTTATCGATGGCCCCTTTCTGTGGCACGCACTGATGCCTGTGCTGTTTCTCCCGCTTCTGGCCCGGTCGTCAGTTTTGCTCTCTGCCCTGCTTGGCTCGTCGTGCTTCGCCGCCATCAGGACGCGCTCCTGCTTCTCCCGACTCCTGTACTCCTTTGCCTTTGCAGCTGCCGCCTGGAGCTCTCACTCGCGGCTCTCTCACATGCTCCTGCGCTTCCTTCCGGAGAGCCGTCGGATTGGTTGTGTCACATGCTCACTGTTTCTTTCTGTGTAGATAATTATGTTTTCAGATCCCAGAGGCTTCTCACAACAGCCTGTTAAACGAATCAGTGAGCTGTTTTGTGAGCCGTGCAGGGTTTTCATCCTGAATCACTAGCGCCGCCGTCATCAGAGCTGTCGTCTCCTCACTGTCGTGCTCCTGGGCGTCACATTTGACTTTCTAATTTTGTCTCCATGACTAGTTTTCCTTCTGCTTTTTGCATGTGCTCAGCCCCTTTTCAGGGCGTCCTCCTCCCTCCATTTTTCACCAAGTTGATTCCTACTTGTCCTTTATTCATCAGTCTGAGCTCACCCATTCTCCAGCGACCTGTGAACACCTCCGTTCTAGCATGTGGCACCTGTTGTTTCTCCTCCCCTACCCGTTCACAGTCTGCAAGCCCGCTGCTCTGGCCACGCTGTGGATCCTGGAAAACGCCCGGCGTTTCTCACCCCTTCCCTCACGTGTGCGTGTGGCGGCTCCTGCTCGTGGTCTCTGCTCACACAGAGACTTATCAGCGAGCCCTGTTCTGAAAACCCCGTTCCAAACTGTTCCCTCATTTACCCCTTTCCCTTTCTTGCTTTTTCGCCAAGGCACTTGCCACGATCTGATGTACTATATATTTGAATGATTGATTAAAATTTCAGTCTCTTTACTAGAATGTAAGTTTCATGAAATCAGGGATTTTGTTCCCTGCCACATCCCTAGCCGCCCGAAACAGGGTTTGGTATATAATGTAGCACATGAGTTGCCAGTTACTTCTCTCTCCCTCGTATACAGTAAATTTCTTGAGAACAGGAAACACGTTTTAGATCTTGTATTTCTGGTATTCATAAAGACTCAGCAGGAGACCAGGAAACTGGCACTTCAGTGGCTGCGTCCCTTCAGCTGAGATTAATACTAACCCTTTCTGTATCAGGTATTGGGATGTGTTCAGAAGGGCATTGTGTTGTAGGGGAACGAAAATACTCATTCACCCTTCACGTTTTTGGCTGGGGTCTCTACAAACAAAGGACAGATTAATGAAAGAAAAGCACACGAATTTATTTAAAAGAAGTTTTATAGGACTCAGGAGCCTTCATAAGGAAATAAGGACCCAAAGAAGTATTAAACCTGAACATTTTTTTGCTAGGTTTGATAAAGAGGGAAGAGTCTTGGGAAGCTATGAGGGACCTTGGGGGTCGCATCAGGGCCTGTTCGTTCAGAGGCTCTGAGTGCTCCTCGTCTTCGGAGATGAGGGTGACCCCTCCTCCAGGCGCAGGGAGGCTCCTCTCGTGCTTGAGAGGTTCCGAGCCCTCCTGCAGATGCCATCGCTCAGTTTACTTCAGCCTAAAATCGTCAGTATGCCAAGAAGCCCCATTTCAGAGGAGCGGGTTATCAGCCCCATCAGTGCTCTGGGGAAATTACAGTGAAACGAAAGCAGTAAATGTCTTTGGTGGCTTTATTCTATTGTAGGAGTGGCTGTCAGAAATAGTGTCTTGCATTTGGGGATGTTATTGTTACTCCTCTTTCTACACACACACACTCTCTCTCTCTCTCTCTCTCTCTCATTCCTAGGTATTTTTGTTAGGACTTAGGAGAATTTATGTATCTAGGGCTGATTGAATGTTAGACCTAGTCTCCATGAATTTTATTGAACATAATATTAAGAAAGGGAAAAAAAATCTGTATTAGACTCTGCCTCCTACCCACAAAGGGCATTGTGTGCCTCTTGCTGTCCATCCTAGACATAGCGTGTTATATCATAAGGCTTTTCTCCGCATTAACTGTGAGCTTTGTCTTAGGAATCGGAGAAGATCATTGCTGAGCTGAATGAGACCTGGGAAGAGAAACTGCGTAAAACAGAAGCCATCAGAATGGAGAGGTCAGCAAGTTAAGCTCTCGGGGTATCTGCACATTTTCAGGGGAACTGGAATTCCTTTTATAGATGGAGAAGTTGAGCTGGAAGTAAAGATGAAAGGCCCCTTTGCCAACGGCAGAAGAGAACAGAACTCAGTCTGCTCGGGGCCGTCCCCCTCAGAGCTTACATAGTCAGACATTCTCTAGAGAGTCCTGTGATCATTACCATACTGCATGGTGTCCAGGGTCCATGTAAAATGGAAGATATCCAGGGATAGAGGGGTTTTTTGTTTTTCTTTTCTGGTTTTTTTTTGGGAGGGGGGTAAATATTTTATTATTTTAGAGTGCGGGAGGGGCAGAGGGAGAGAGAAACCCAAGCAGGCTCCACACCCAGCATCGTGCCCATGTGGGGCTCGATCCCATAACCCTAAGATATGACCTGAGTTGAAATTGAGAGTCAAGAGTTGGACACTGAACCAACTGAGCCACCCAGGTACCCTGGGATAGAGTTTTCACTTTGTAAAACAACTGCCTTGGACAAAGGCCCGAATAATGAAGCTCTCTGATGATTGTTTGTGAGTTGTGTTTTATAGAACCTCTTCGGTAAGAGGTGAAATAGTTTGAGTTGCAGACTTTTAAAATCCCTTTTCTACTTTTAACCTCTCAGTTCTCTACCCTGAAGGTGACTGTATCCTGAAATAATACTTCTCTTATTGCGATGAATATACATTAAAAAAAGGTCAGACCTGTCTTCCCCCTTCATGGAAGATGAGGTAGAAGTGAGTGCATGTATTGATGCACTGGATGCATCAAACGGTTAGAATATTCTTACTATAGGGATCTTAAGCTAGAATATTCTAGAATCAATGTGATGTTGGGCTGGGGAGCATCCCATTTGAAAAAAACACATTTATAGACAACCTTCACATATCCAAGCTACCTTCTGATTGCTTTCTTAGATTTTGAAGAAAGGATACTTTGAGTTAGATGTCTGGCCTTAAGGAATATCCCTGTCTTCCTTCTTGTATATTAATGGACATATTATTTATGAATGTCTGTCTGCCTCCAAAGTCAGATGAGACAAAGTTCTTACTTGAGCAAATACAACTTTACCTGACATGGGAACAGAACTTATTTTGAATGTGCTGTTTCCCTTCAATTCTCATGAATGATGGGATAGACAGATATTTCACATTTGAATTAGTAACACAGACAGTAGTGTTTGCTCTGCATGCTTTACTTGCCAGTTCATAAGGTTTATTTAATTGACATTTTGGTATTGGGATTCTGATGTGCTTGTTGTTTTTCTAGGGAGGCCTTGTTGGCTGAGATGGGAGTGGCCATTCGGGAAGATGGAGGAACACTGGGAGTTTTTTCACCTAAGAAGGTAGGAAACTTGTGAAACTCAACCCAGCAGAAGCCTTTCCTATTTGTCTTGGTCACTGAGGCACTTCTGGTCTTTTGGGGCTGGCCCCTCCTCCCTTCATTTTATCTTGAGATTTGGCTTAATTTCTGATTTCTTACTACAGTACAGGGGCAGCCTGTTTCTCAAATGCCTATCATGTTTGCTGTTTACAAAATAAAACCCAAGGCAGTAAATCTAACTTTTGGCCATGATTCAGTATGTTCACTCGTCTGCATTGTTGCTTTCTCTTAAATTCCCAGCCTCTCACCTAGCATACCTGGCTTCAGTTTGGCTACTCTTTCTATGTAAATTTTCCCACAGATGCCAGCAGCCCTGATTTATAACTCTTTGGAAGCAATTTCAGCTCTTCAGGTTTGTGTAGAAAAATACCACACAAGTTTGTTTCTGTAGTTGTGTTGCAGACGACCATTCTACTGAGTAAAGCAATTCCTGTCCTCACCCTTCCAGCCGCCTCTGCTCCTTTCTTAGCTTTTGTTTAAAAAAATGACTCCAGTAGTTACCCTTCCACTTATGTAATCTTAGTTGTTAGGTAGTAGATACCTACTTGTTAGGTAGTAGCTAATTAGAATAGTAAAGTCGGTTTTGTTTTTTTGGGGGGGGGTTGTTTTTGTTTCATTTTGTTTTACTGAGTTGCTTCCTAGTTATTTGTAGATATTGGAAAGCTATTATCAAATTATTATTTCTATTGATTTACAAAGCATATATATTCATGCCAGTAAAAAATGGTTCCTCATTTCATATGACCCCAGCTTGGCTATCAGGGACTTACACATGTCCTGTGGGGTCTGAGGATGATCTCTCTAGCTTGGCATTGAATGAGCAGGGGTGTTTCCATTTTTGTTTTTATGTGATAGGAAATATTCCTGGGTTTTGCTAGGATTCTTTAGGTTTGGTTTTTCTGTCAAGGTCACATAACTTTTTTAAGGAATTCCATTGCTTATTTTCAACAGATATAAGAGTGTTTTAAAGACATTTTCGGTACATATTTTGAAACTGGAATAATAGTAACGGTAATTTGTGTGTCTGTACTGCCAACGGTTTGTGATTTTAAGTTTAATAGTGTTTCCTTCAGTAATACATTATTTATTGAGATACCATTCTTAGGATTGTAGAGGTTTTAGCAGTTAGAGGTTTGATCAGGTTTGTTGTGCCTTGTGATTACTAAAGAGATCTTACATCTTTGAGAGTTAAAGAACTATATAGAAAGTTTTTGTAACAACTTGTAAAACTATGGCATTTAACACAAGTCATAAATAATTTAAGTGTTGTGACATAAACAGCATGGAATTCCACACTGAGATCTCTGTTTCCAAAGTTTTTCTTGCTTTAATTTTATGCATCTTATTTTAACTTTCTAGACTTCCTCAGGAAAGGAAGGAATACACCTCTGGCTACATCTAAATTCAGTTTTAGAACCTGTTTCTAATGTGTTAACTTGATTGTGGTAATCATTGCATGATGTGTATGTATAGTAAATTGACACGTTCGACACCTTAAAAAAAATCATGTTGTACAACCTAAATGTATACAATTTTTATTTGTCAGTCATACCTCCATAAAACTGGGTCAGGGGGGAAACTTTAAAGGCAAGGGGAAGCAAAACCTGTTTGCAGGATTCCCTTTTTCTGAGGCCAGTGCCCTGATGGGCTTTAAAGAACACTGTCCACAGGGCCTTGACTTTCTCAAACCAGCAGAGGTCTTAAACTACAGAAGCAGTTGATGATGTAGAGCTTTTCCTAATTTCTGTTTAATCATTTTTCTCATTCTCTGTTCTTAACCCTCTCATCTGATTCTTCTTTCATTTTTCCACATTTGCTGGCACTGTCTTGAGTAGATTTTGACCCCAAGACCATGTGACTTATTTTTGGATTCCAGTGGGGTATTTTCACCAAAGAAGGTTGGTTTTTCAAAAATTTTAGAAATATTAGATGAAGAGGATTTTTACAAGATGTGTGTATTGTTGAATGTCAGTAATTTTAATTTCTTCTTTAAGGTAAAGACTAGTAAACTAAAGACAGTAACTGGGACCATGGAAGAAGTGATGAAAATTATAGAGGGAAATGCCAGGAGATGTGGGAACACTTTTTTTTTTTTTTTTTAAAGATTTACTTATTTTTAGGGGGAGGAGGGGCAGAGAGAGAAACTGAGAATCTCAAGCAGACTCCATCCTGAGCGCACAGCCTGATGCGGGGCTTGATCCCACAACCCTGAAATCATGACCTGAGCCAAAACCAAGAGTCAGTTGCTCAACTGACTGTGCCACCCAGTCACCCCTTTTTTTAAAGCACTTTTATAAGGGCTCCTGGGTGGTTCAGTGGGTTAAGCGTCTGCTTTGGCTCAGGTCATGATCTCAGGATCCTGGGATGGAGCCCCGCATTGGACTCCCTGCTTCCCAAGGAGTATGCTTCTCCCTCTCCCTCCGCGCCTCTCCCCCTGCTTGTGCTCTCTTTCTGTCGCTCTCTCTTGTGCACGTTGCTCTCTCGCTCATGAACAAATAAAGTCTTGAATAAAAATTAAAGCATTTTTATAAAGTAAATGAAAAACTATTTTTGGAGGTTGTAGGAAGGGAAAATAATTTTCCCTCTACCCTTTTGAGTTCTTGGCTGAGAGCCCTGTCATAAAAGGTTAATAAAAGAAAAACAAAAATAAGCTTATTAGCGTGTTTGCCTCATGTATGTGTGGGAGCTACCCAAGAGAAAGTGAGTGACTCCCCACGATGGCTTAGAATTCAGACTTAAATGCTGCCCTAGTAGGGTAAGGGGAGTGGGGATTTGGCGTCTCAGGAGGGAATAAATGATTTTCAGGAAAGATGAAGGGGCTCTTGGGAGAATAGATGGGTGGTGTGATCCTTTGTGACAAAGTCTGAGTGCAGTGTCAACCTCTGGTCTCCTTTCCTGGGATACAAGTCCCTCCTCCCTGGTTGATGGACTCCCAAGGGGACATGACAGCTGAGGGCATTCAGGAGGACCTGTCTTGAGATGAGAGAGGGGGTTCTCAAAGAAAGCTTCTCCCTGCGTTTGCTGTTTTTCAGGGGACTTCAGCTCAAAATAATATGTCAAAATGGCATATTTTGTTACCCTTCTAGATTTTTGTCCAGATAGTTAAAAATTATGATTAACCCATCCAGAGAATTGTCCTGTCCTTATTTTTCTTTTGTAATCTTCATGCTTCGACCTTATTCAGAATCGGCTCTTGTGCTTTATCCCTGAACTCATGTTTTACATAGAATGTATTAGTGCAGTTTGAGAAGGCCTGAAGAGAAGTGTTTTCTCTTTGTAGTGGAATTGCAGCTAGGAACTAGGAATAAAAGACATCCCTCTTCTAGGGACTGTGGATAATCTGGGAAACCATTGCCCTCCTAGGTCACTGTTAACTATCACCGCCTGCCCAGTGGTACTTGCTCCAAATTGATCATCTGTACCTTTTTTCAGACCCCACATCTTGTTAACCTCAATGAGGACCCACTAATGTCCGAATGCCTGCTTTATTACATCAAAGATGGAATTACAAGGTATATTTGTTTCTTTTGGTCACTTACTATTTTCTTTTCTCTTAATTGATGGAATAACTACAGGGAAGTTATTTGTTGAAAAATTTGTTGTAATGATTTGCTGTCTTTTGTGTCTGAAATAGTTACAAACTCTCTTGGCTTCCCAAATGATGTAAGTGCTTTAGCCATCTGAACCAGTTAACATGTAGTTTTCCCTAAAAACCCTAAGTAAAAATTTTTTCCCGTAACTTCTTATATGAATTCATTAGGGAGATTAGTTCACTCTTGTCTTTTTATAAAGCTGAGTGAGTTACATTGATGTATCCTTGCTCTTGGTTTCTTATTCTAATGTAGGGAGGTTGATCATATGTGAAAATAAAATTTGCAGTTGAAAGCCTCTGATAAAAAGAAGCGATACCTTTTTTGTACATACCAAAGAATATTCTTTGGGAGAAAGGGGTTCATTGTTTTCAGTGCTTTTTGTGTCTGAATTTCCCTGGGAAACACTTTCCCTTGTGTTCAGGGTTGGCCAAGCAGATGCTGAGCGGCGCCAGGACATCGTGCTGAGTGGGGCTCACATTCAGGAAGAGCATTGTATCTTCCGGAGCGAGAGAAACAACAGTGGAGATGGTGAGAGTTCCTGGCGTAGCTTTTCCAACAACCTTTTCATTCTATGTTACTAGAAATCCCCAGGGCTTGCTATTCCCTGTCTCTCTCAGTGATACTTTCTTGTACAATCTAATATTTGAAAATGGAGAAACCTGGCCTGCTTACAGATTCAGGGAGGGACGTAGCTATTTTACATGAAAATAGCCTGGACTAAAGGAGCCCTTTTGTAACTGCCAAGAACTGAGGGGGACATAGGCAATTAGGCTTGGTCTTGAATGTTAATTATTTAATAGAAAAGTAAGAAAGGAACAAATATCCTGCGTAGTAGGAGATTTGAAGGACCTCTGATCTTAACCCAGAACTTATTTTTATCTAAAAGGGAAGAAAAAGTCAATCTTGATTTTTGTCTGGGTTACTAACAAAATAATAATCTAATAGTATTTTTATACTATAGGACTCATTCCTTTAATCAGAATGTTAGCTGCTTTTGATTTTACATTTCTGGTTAGTACCTATATCTTAGACTTAAGATTTCTGATGGTTTTCAGTTTTATGGACTGAACTGTTAGATATCACCAAAACTAGCATTTCCCATCTTCTTCTGAGGTTTGTCAAATTCATTTAAATGTTTCTCTTAGCCACGCCCCTGGTTTTGATATCCTAAAATGAACTACTGTGTAGATGCTCTGCCACTTGGTTGGTTGCACGAATGTATTCCCTGGACCCCGAATCTTCATAGTCATCTTCTTTCCACTGCTTTATTCCACCGTCTTGTGGTGCTAATACTGGTTTGCTCTTTTTAGTTATTGTGACCCTTGAGCCCTGTGAACGCTCAGAAACCTATGTCAATGGCAAGAGGGTGGCCCAGCCTGTTCAGCTACGCTCAGGTGAGCCTGGGAAAGTTGTTTTGTTTTTTTTAAGTGCTTTGCTTTCTCCTCTTCTTTTTTTAAAGATTTTATTCATTTGTTTGAGAGAGAGTGCACACAAGTGTGGGGAGGGGCAGAGGGGGAGGGAGAATGTGGACTCCCTGCTAAGCAGGGAGCCCCCACATGGGGCTCCATCTTTGGACCCTGAGATCATGACCTGAGCTGAAATGAAGAGTTGGACACTTTGACCAACTGAGCCACCCAGGCGCCCCTGAGACCGGGAAACATTTGAAGTCTGTGTGAGCAACTCTTGAATTTTTGACCCTTTGTTTAAAGACTCAAGTATAATAGCATTAGGATTTCTGTTCTTATAAAACTCCAAAGGCTGTCTTATTGCCTTAGGGAAAGGGAGGGAGAGTGAGGTTATTAACCTAGATGGGTATACATTTAAAAAAATGGCTTCTTAACTCTGTTTCTGTTCTGTGGTAGGAAACCGTATCATCATGGGTAAAAACCATGTGTTTCGTTTCAACCACCCGGAGCAAGCACGGGCAGAGCGGGAGAAGACTCCTTCTGCTGAGACCCCCTCTGAGCCTGTGGACTGGACGTTTGCCCAGAGAGAACTTCTGGAAAAACAAGGGATTGATATGAAGCAGGAGATGGAGAAAAGGTAATGCAAAATATGATGTGGCCCCATGACTGTCACCTCTTTAGAACGTACAGTGTATAGCCCTCATCGAACAGGCCAGTGATTTCACAATTTATTCCTTCCTCTCTTGTTTTTTTTTTTTTTCCTTCTAGACTACAGGAGATGGAGATCCTATACAAAAAGGAGAAAGAAGAAGCAGATCTTCTCTTGGAGCAGCAGAGACTGGTAGGAATCCATCCCGAATCCTCTGTTAGGAAAAGGGCAGCTTGCTGTCATCCCTTACCTGTTCCACAGATGAGCACCTGCCCAGCTGCTTGTCCAGCTCTCACTGATGCCATATGCTGTTCTCTCATTTCCTTAATGGAGAATGAACTTTCATCTCCTGGTAGCCTTAGTCTGAAGAAGTGTCCATAGAGGTACAGTTTTGTGCCTTTTATGTCTTCAAGTTAAATCTTTAGTTCTAGCAAAACCAAGTGCTTTCTGCGGAACTAGTGGGAGCTTCTCTGGTAGGCTCTGCCTCTTGATCGTGGTTTCCGAGTATGCGTCAGTGGCGATTCTTTTAATGATGGTTATATTGAATATTGAATTTGGCGGGTGTTTGCCTTGGTTTTGTTTCTGATCACCTGATAGTACTAATTCTCTGCTCTTGGGCTGACTTGGGGATTGTTCTTGTGCTGGGCAGACTTTTTTTTTTTTTTTTTTTTTTTCTTTTTCTTTTTTTAGTTAAACTGTGTCTAAAAGTGTTGCTGCACAGTTGCATGTGTTAATCCTTTTCTGTTCCCCTGCATGGAGTCTGAATTCTCAATAAGGGTCTCCGTGGCATGTGGGATGACAGGGGAAACAGGGACTACACAGTCAGCTCAGTCAGGAGAAGGAAGCCTGGTTTCTCCAGGCTGGGAGAGATTTGGGTGAGCAGCTGAAAAGTTGTTGAAGGTTGCAGCTTATAATGCTAATGGGTTTATTTAGCATTTTATGATCTGCATTGCTTCTCCAAGTTTGATAGAAACTGAATCTCATGAATAAATAAGTTGACCCACTAGTTAGATTATCATTTTTAAAGCTATCCAGCTTTGGTTAACAAAGCCCTGGTCATAAAAAGCTTCTTCTTGGCATTCATTTGATAGGTAAGAGAAAGATATGATAAACCTTTGGGTACTGTGGATACAATTTAGTGTTTTTTTAAGATTCACAGACTTCTTCTAAGATGAAGAGAAAGCTGGGATACTGGTTTCTTCCCTTAACATAAAACATAGCATCTAAAATACTGTGTGTAAACCGCAGCCTTCTGGTCATGCTCTGCTTTGGGGAAGAGAGGCTGGTGCTAAATAGGCCAGAAATACCAAGGGCTCGAGCAAAAAGCAGGCTTTTTCCAAGGCTAGTCATTTCTTAGGCCTGGCAGTGTGTTAAAGGTAGTTTGTTATCTTGGAAACTATAGTGAAGTCCAGGAAAGAATAAATCAGGTCTGGGGGGCAAGATAGTAGCAGTGTTCAGATCCCTTTATGAGGCCTAGTTGACATTCAGTTTTTAATGAAAACAGAAGGATTTGACTACAGTGTGATAGGAACTTGAAAGGTTTGTGACACATGAGGAGCCTTTTATCTTAATAATGTATAATCTAATAACATGCCTCTGATGGTCTGTGAGAGATTACATGAGGACAGGTATCATTGAGCTGTATGTATCATTAACAGTAGTGCCTTGTATTTGTATAGTGCTTTATAATTTACAGGAAGCTTTAATATCCAGCATTTTGGGGGCGGTTCCCAAAATAGCCTTCCTTGATAGGTGTGTGTATAAATAAAATGAGTAATTTTACCTCCAATTTATAGTTGAGGAAACCAAGGAAAAAACATGCCGTCTTGCTCACTCTTAAAACACCTGTTAAGTCATGGGGTCTGAAGCTTAATCTTGGGGCTTCTGAATTGCTTCCATGTTCCTTCTGTCCAGTAAGAGCAGTGCTTCTTCACCAGCAGGAGTCCTAGTAAAATGCACATGCTGATTCAGTAGGTCTGGGGTGGGACCTGAGAGTCTTGGTTGCTAACAAGCTCCCAGGTGATACCAATGCTGCTGATCCAAGATCACCCTTTGAATTCACCAGGTGAGATAGAATGATGACGGCTGGTGCTCTCCATAAGCAAGCACTGATGATCATTCTTTGCTCCGAGATAAAGATGATGACCATCAAAGAGAAAATACATGTCTCTAAGACATACTTAGTTTCCAGGGGACATATTTAGTCTGCAAGTGATCAGGTTGGGGCTGTCCTCTGTTCTGTGTATCTAAAAGCAAGCTAGGATTTCAAGAGCAGTTACTTAAAGCAAGGAGGTTGCTTTTCTCCCGAGTCCAACTCTATATTCCACTCAGATTTCTTGTCCTCCAGAGGAATTGATTTCTAATGCCTTAGCCTGAGGAATATCTAGCAGTAACAATACTGAATGGAAAATATATTTTTATGACCCTTTATTGGTCAACCAACAGATACATTTTGAATGCACCCTATGGATAAACACTGAGAGGATATAAGAATAATCATTCAGTAAATATGTGTTTAATATTATATGTAATCATTTTTGCATAATGACAACATTAAATAATGGAATTCGTTTTTTGAGTTTTCTATTATTGTAGTTCCCCAAATGCGTCATATTATCGCACTGCTGAACGTTCTCTTCTAGTTACTGCTCTGTTACACACTTGGTCTTCTCTGTGCTTGCTTTCTCACCTATCTTTTTTTTTTTTTTAAGATTTTATTTATTTATTTGACAGACAGAAATCACAAGTAGGCAGAGAGGCAGGCAGAGAGAGAGGAGGAAGCAGGCTCCCTGCCGAGCAGAGAGCCCGATGCGGGGCTCGATCCCAGGACCCTGAGATCAGGACCTGAGCCGAAGGCAGAGGCTTTAACCCACTGAGCCACCCCGGCGCCTCACCTATCTTTTAGGTCTCTTCTTTCTTCTTTCTGCACAAGCTTCCTGTAGAGTCTTTTCAGGAGGCCTTCACATTGGGATTTCATGAAAACGGAAGCATCATTTAGTGACACGAATTGGCCAGACCTGAGTAGTTTTTCCAGCCTTGTAATAAGTGAATCTAAATATCTTTACATCTTTTTTGACATGAGAGAAGTGTACATCTTGGCACATAAACTTTGCATACAGAATTTTTAGTATCATGTTCAGTGTGTGATATGGGGCCATAAGGAGAACATATTCTACAAAGACAATATGGTAGTATTTTATTTTATCTTATTTTATTTATTGGGAGGGGCTTGGGGGGGCACAGAGGGAGAGAGAGACAATCTTTTTTTTTTTTTTTTTTTTTAAGATTTTATTTATTTATTTGACAGACAGAGATCACAAGTAGGCAGAGAGGCAGGCAGAGAGAGGGTGGGGGAAGCAGGCTCCCCGCTGAGCAGAGAGCCTGATGCGGGGCTCGATCCCAGGACCCTGAGATCATGACCTGAGCCGAAGGCAGAGGCTTTAACCCACTGAGCCACCCAGGCGCCCCGAGAGAGACAATCTTAAGCAGGCTCCACGCCCAGCACAGAGCCCGATGTGGGGCTTGATCTCACAGTCCTGAGATCACAGCCTGAGCCAAAATCAAGATTGGATGCTTATCTGACTGAGCCACCCAGTCGCCCCCAATGTGACAGTATTGTTAAAAGAATGACAGTTACGGCCATTTAATTTGAGATCTTTTGGATTTATGTAGACTTTCCTATTTATATTTTATTTTAGAGTTTAAAGACCTAATCTCTGTCTCCCAAGTGTGATATGAAAGGAGTGATTGGAGTATTTGTTATTTTTTAGATTAAGTAGGATTCATTTTATTCTTGAGCAATCTTAAAAGGAAAAGGAAAGAAGGTGGGGTGGGAATAGAGTCATAGTTGTCAGTTATGTGAGAATAGTCAGTATATTATGTTCTATAAAACTTAGTTTACACATACTGGTAAGAAGATCTTTGGTAGGAGTCAGGTACATTTTTTTCTCTAATGTTTATTAATGTCCTCTTTTATCACTCCAGATTAGACATTCTGAGGTTTAAACTAAAAATGAAAGTAGTGTAAAGTCTAAATTTAACTCTATTTGCTATTCCTTAAATTTTCAGCTAGAAAGGGCTATTTAATGGGTTTAGTACCCATTTACAGACCAATAAAAATAATACAGATCAGCACCTCCAAATTCAGGGACCAGATTATTGTCCTTACTGTTAAACATTATTTTTTGGGAAATAATTGTACATAGAAAATAACTGTACATAGGACTCTTTGGCCTAGAAAGCAAGATTCTATTTTACTAGAGATAATTTTGGTAATCACAGCCAAGTAAAAGAGAGTATTAAGATTTTTTTCCTAACTAGACTATCCTGAACTACTCTTCTAAGGGAATAGTTTCTTTTCCAAGGAACTTTTATTTCCTGAATTGAAATTCTTCCTTAAGCCTTCCTTAATTCCGTAGGGAATTCTAAATCTAACATTGTTTTTGTGTAGATCCAACATTGCTTTCATGTTATAAAGATGTGCTTGTATTATTTAAGAACAATTGATTATTATCCAGATAGCCCTTGAAGACCAGTTAGTTGGGCAGGCAGGTGCTCTTTTGCTTCTTAGTTTGTTTTTAAGATTTTATGTACTTATCTGAGACAGAGACTGAGAGAGTGCGGCAGAGGGAGAGGAGAAAGCAGGCTGCCTGCTAAGCAGGGAGCCTGACTCAGGGCTCAATCCCAGAAGGTAGAGGCTTAATCGACTGAGCCACCCAGGCACTCCTGGGCCGAGGTTTTACTTGGGCCTGTAACAAAAGTTAAAAAAAAAAAAAAAAAAAAAAAAAGGGCAGCCTGACCGCCCAACTAACGTTTTTGATAAAGAGGTAAAGTGCAAACATAGCCAAAAAGACAGAATTAGAGACAGCATTTTAAAGTGGATCTGAGTTTTATGTGCTGATAGAGTTGTCACTTAAAGTGATACTCCTCAAATTGCTAGAAATGCCATGGGTTTTCATAGATTAAAAAAACATTTATTAGGTCATATTTATTAAAATATTTCTTGGGGAATTTTAAATGATGTTTTAAAAAAGTGTATTTGTCTAGCTTAATTTATGTTCTGGAAACTTCTTAAAATTTTGGAAGTGAAGTGTGTATTGGTTTAAGTGTGTGAAATTAAAACAGCAGACCCACCGTAAGGACCCTTTTTTTATGCTTCCTTGTTCTCTAGATAACAAACGTTACTTTTATTA